GGCGAAAAATGTTTATGATCAAAAATTTCGCAAAAATTATTGAGGTGTATCGACACCTAACGCTACAATGGTACACTATAATTGTATTGACTAAACTGATCCAAATATGCAAATATTAAGACGAGAACAACGAGCTGTCATAAAACATTTGCTTAGGCTTTAAAGCACTGTCTGAAGCCGATTCTCTATGACACCCGTCTGTCACCGTTGAAATGAGCACATAAAAGGCTGTTTGAAAGCTGCTTTTGGGGTCTTCCATATATTGCAACAGATTTGGTTTAGTGAAGAAGAATAAAAAATTTGAAGCCGTGTACATCGTCTTATACAATTCTTTCAACAAAATATTTTCAATAACTTACGGACTAAAACTGTCAACCGAACGACAATATTTATCAACAATGACTGTATAAAGCATACAAATATGTTGTTGTTGTTGTCGATGTTGCTGGTTATTATTTAAGCAAACAACTATACTCAAAAGTTATAGCATAAGCTTTACGGTATAATTCAGAACACTGGTGGAAATAATCAGTAAAATTCTGTTAGTAAAAATCCAATAGTATTTTTAGATCAAATACGGTAAAAATTGTTTAACTTTATGCATTAAACAGTCATAAATTAATTGTATAGTAAAAAACTAAAATGCAGCATTAAGTGTAATATTACAAGCAAAATTCCAAGTAACTATAGTAAAGTGGAAAATTTCAATCATATTCTTGGTCAAAAACAAATTTGCAACCGTTTAGCTGTTGCTTTGCATTGGTGTATCAGTCAACCAACGTATGCAATTGATACAATTACAAATAATGCATTTAAAATAGCTTTACATTAATAGTTGAATCCAATAAAGTCATTAAGACAGTTAATAAGTTCTATTTTTTTGATGCAACGATCTGATGGTTAAGTAACAAAAAAAAAAAAGCACCGTTACAGCTGTCTGAGAAACCAACAGCTGTAACTCATTGAAATTAGTATATGGATCGTCGCTCTATTGCAGATGGCCATTTTCTAGAACAAATTATATGTCGAGAGTATAAATGATGCAAAATTAAAGAGTGTTGAAGAAGTCAAACAGCAACCACAAAAAAAAAAATAATTTGACTTCTAAGATGACCGTTCTTCTGTTTGAAGGTATAGTCCAACAAACGATGATCAAACCGATTATCACAGAACGATGATCGGTTCACACAAATGTTGTTTCTATCATCCTATAACTTTACACAAAATACGGTAAAGAAGAGGTCAAAATTTTTAACGAATATAACATTGTTTCCTTATTATTTTTTTTTTTTTTTTTACCTACAAATATTGCTCATAGATACAGCATTACACTTCTATATATAATTATTTTCCTTTTTTTTGTTTGAATTCTTTACCATCTTCGTTAAAAATGAAACAATATTGATGCCGACGATGACAATAGCTGGCCTATAGTTTTCGATAGATTATTGTTGTTAACAATGATCAATGACCAGATATAGGAATTTTAGAAGAAATATTTTTGAAGAAAATTAGGTATATAATTTCATTTATCGGGTAAAAATGTTTGCAATAAAAACGATAACAAAAAGCTGGCAAGAAACAAAAAAGAATTGTTAATGACGATGATAAAATGACACTAAACAATTGATTTAATAGTTATCGCTTGTCCAAATAATTGCTTTTTTCTGAATACAGAAAAAAAACTGTTTTATGTCATCTATCGTT